CCAACCCACTTGGGGGACATAAATTGAAGATTGTGGCTGGGTGCAGTGGCTCATGCCTGTAATCCCAGCACTTTGGGAGGCCGAGGTGGGCCGATCACCAGAGGTTAGGAGTTCGAGACCAGCCTGGCCAGCATGGTGACACTCCGTCTCTACTAAAAATACAAAATTGCCGGGCGCGGTGGCTCAAGCCTGTAATCCCAGCACTTTGGGAGGCCGAGGCGGGTGGATCACGAGGTCGAGAGATCGAGACCATCCTGGTCAACATGGTGAAACCCCGTCTCTACTAAAAAAAAAAAAATACAAAAAACTAGCTGGGCGTGGTGGCGCGTGCCTGTAATCCCAACTACTTAGGAGGCTGAGGCAGGAGAATTGCCTGAACCCAGGAGGCGGAGGTTGCGGTGAGCCGAGATCGCGCCATTGCACTCCAGCCTGGGTAACAAGAGCGAAAGTCCATCTCAAAAAAATAAAATAAAATAAAATAAAAATACAAAAATTAGTTAGCTGCCTGTAATCCCAGCTACTCAGGAGGCTGGGGCAGGAGAATCACTTGAGCCTGGGAGGCGGAGGCTGCAGGAAGCTGACATTGTGCCACTTCACTCCAGCCTGGGCCACAGAGCAAGACTCAGTTTCAAAAACAAAGAAGACTGTTCTTCTTGTTCCAGTCCTGATTTCTGGAACACAAGAGCGCTGACAGGCAGAAGGAAGTTACACTGTGACAAGGGGAAGGAGCTGCTTCCTTGGAGGAAGAGTTAGGAGCCTAAGTACTCACGTGAAACTCTGCGTGTCAGGGAGAGCTGGATGCTTGGCTGCCCTGTGACAACAGGAAAAAGAACCTTGAGCACTCAGGCACCTGGCCCTTGTCCCAGCCCCACTCTGCAGATGCCGGGAGGGTCCCCATCAGTCCATTGTGCCCACACCCCAAGCGGTTTGCAACTTTTGGGGTCTGATGGCCGCCTCCTCACCTTTCCCTTTGGCTGATGTTTTGCTATCTCCCTATCCAGGCGTCTTCCCTCCTTGAAGGTTGCCTGCAGTTTTGCTCCCTGAGGTCATAATTCAAGCTTGACCAACCCCAGCATTCCGCTTGTGATGTCAGCAGGGCAGGGGGTGCCACTGGACGGGCTGTGATGCTGATTTAGTCTGCCTCTTTAGGAGCAGTTTGTCCCCGATCCTTTGTCCCAGGAGACAGAGTAGCTGCTGGCAGTTCATTTAATCTGACTGGATCATGGTTCTTCTTCCTTCCTTGCTTGCTTGCTTGCTTGTTTGCTGCTGTTTTTGTGAGATGGAGTCTCATTGTGTCGCCCAGGCTGGAGTGCAGTGGCGGCTCACTGCAGCCTCTGCCTCCCAGGTTCAAGTGATTCTCCTGCTTCAGCCTCCTGAGTAGCCGGGATTACAGGTGTCCACCACCATGCCTGGCTAATTTTTGGTATTTTTAGTGGAGACGGGGTTTCACCATGTTGGCCAGCCTGATCTCAAACTCCTAACCCCAAATGATCTACCTGCCTCGGCTACCCAAAGTGCTAGGATTACAGATGTGAGCCACCTTGCCTGGCCTGATTTTCAGCCTTTTTTACTTAGCAATACATACATTTTCCCTTTTAAGTATGGCTTTGGCTGCACCCCATAGTAAAGCAGCATTATCATTTTCACTAAATTAAAAACACTTTTTTTTTTTTTTTGAGCCTTTCTCCGTTGCCCAGGCTGGAGTGCAGTGGCGCAATCTTGGCTCCCTTCAACCTCCATCTCCTGGTTCAAGTGATTTTCCTGCCTCAGCCTTCGGAGTAGTTGGGACTACAGGTTCATGCCACCACGTCCGGCTAATTTTTTGTATATATATTTTTTAAGATGGGGTTTCACGATGTTGGTCAGGCTGGTCTTGAACTCCCGACTTCAGGTGATCAGCCCACCTTGGCTTCCAGAGTGCTTGGATTACAGGTGTGAGCCACCACACCCAGCCAATTTTTTGTATTTTTAGTAGAAATGGGGTTCCACTGTGTTAGCCAGGATGGTCTCCAACCCCATGACCTTGTGATCTGCTCAAGTCAGTCTCCCAAGGTGCTGGGATTACAGGTGTGAGCCACCACGCCCAAGGATTAAAAACATTTTCTAATTTCTATTGTGATTTATTATTTGACCTCCTATTTATTTATTTATTTATTTACTTATTGAGCCAGAGTCTTGCTGTCACCCAGGCTGGCATGTGGTGGTGTGATCTCTGCTCACTGCAACCTCTGCCTCCCAGGTTCAAGCAATTCTTCTGCCTCTCAAGTAGCTGGGACTACAGGTGTGTGCCACCACGCCCAGCTAATTTTTGTATTTTTTTGTAGAGGTGGGGTTTTGCCATGTTGCCCAGACTGGTTTTGAATTCCTGGGCTCTAGTGATCCTTCCACCTTGACCTCCCAAAGTACTGTACTGGGATTACAGGCATGAGCCACTGCACCCAGCCCTAATTGCATTTTTTAGTTCTAGAATTTCTACTTGCTCCTTCTTCTTTTTTCTTCTCCAAGGCTTATCACTGCTTATTGTTCTGAGAATGCTTTCTAAGCAGCAAGCTAATAACTTGAGAATGTTACTAGCTGCTACTGTTTGTTTTCCTTCTAAGGTCCTAAGTCAGCCGAAACCAAAATGGAACAAACAAAACAATCTCAAGGGTATATGGCTTTCAAGGTCTTGCTGGCAAACAGCGAAACTGGGACATCAAATAGATTCTGGAGTGATCTTCAGTGGTTACCCAGGTAAGACATTTCTTTGCATTTTTCCTTTTGAAATGTTGAGGTTGAGATACACAGAAGTACAGAGGGGAAAAATCCCCAAGTCTTTTAAAAATAATGTCTTCATTTAGAAATATGACTGATGGGGGCTTGGCAGGGGTTACTAGGATCTGAAAGAGGCTGAGTTTCATCTTCCAGCCCAACTGTCCACATTCAGAACTGACAAACATTCATGAACTAAGTCAACATCCACCAAAAATAGCACAAGATAATGCTTACTGTTTTGGAAGATGAAAATGACACACACAGACCTCACCCACCAATCTCTAAGCTGGGACAACAAATGCTTGCATTTAAACTTCTCTAAAATGTCAAATTAGCATATTCTTTCCCTCGATGTAAAGTTTCAATAAACTTGACTAAATCTGCCTTTATTTTAAAAACCTTACAAAAGATGTATTTAAATGCTTGAAGAAATTAACTTTAGGCCGGGTGTGGTGGCTGTGGCTCTCGCCTGTAATCCCAGCACTTTGGGAGGCCAAGGCAGGTGGATCACCTGAGGTCAGGAGTTGGAGACCAGCCTGACCAACATGGTGAAACCCCGTCTCTACTAAAAATACAAAATTAGGCAGGCATGGTGGCACATGCCTGTAATCTGAGGTAATCGGGAGGCTGAGGCAGGAGAATTGCTTGAACCTGGGAGGTGGAGGTTGCAGTGAGATGAGATCGTGCCATTGCACTCCAGCCTGGACGACAAAGTGAGACTCTGTCTCAAAAAAAGAAACCAATCTTGTTTCACTATTATCTGCTTTCATTTCTCCTTCCCTCACTTATTTATTTATTTATTTATTTATTTTGAGACGGAGTTTCGCTCTTGTTACCCAGGCTGGAGCGCAATGGCGCAATCTCGGCTCACCGCAACCTCCGCCTCCCGGGTTCAGGCAATTCTCCTGCCTCAGCCTCCTGAGTAGCTGGGATTATAGGCACGCGCCGCCATGCCCAGCTAATTTTTTGTATTTTTAGTAGAGACAGGGTTTCACCATGTTGACCAGGTTGGTCTCGATCTCTCGACCTTGTGATCCACCCGCCTCGGCCTCCCAAAGTGCTGGGATTACAGGCTTGAGCCACCGCGCCCGGCCTAATTTTTTAAAATATTTTTAGTAGAGACGGGGTTTCACCATGTTGACCAGGATGGTCTCGATCTCTTTTTTTTTTTTTTGAGACGGAGTTTCGCTCTTGTTACCCAGGCTGGAGTGCAATGGCGCGATCTTGGCTCACCGCAACCTCCGCCTCCTGGGATCAGGCAATTCTCCTGCCTCAGCCTCTTGAGTAGCTGGGATTACAGGCACGCGCCACCATGCCCAGCTAATTTTTTTGTATTTTTAGTAGAGACGGGGTTTCACCGTGTTGACCAGGATGGTCTCGATCTCTTGACCTCGTGATCCACCCGCCTCGGCCTCCCAAAGTGCTGGGATTACAGGCTTGAGCCACCGCGCCCAGCCGGGACTAACACTTTCTAAGGATCCCATGCCCTGCCTGATGCTAAAGTGATCAATACTTGTTTGCTGATTACTTGTCACCAAATGTTTCTCACTCATCCTCTTCCTTGTCTTCTTTGTACCTAGTCACTCACTCTCTTTCAGAAGGAATTGTCCTTAAAAACCATCTCACAGCCAGGCATGGTGACTCACGCCTGTAATCCCAGCACATTGGGAGGCTGAGGCAGACGGATCACCTGAGGTCAGGAGTTCAAGACCAGCCTGGCCAACATGGCAAAATCCTGTGTCTACTAAAAATACAAAAATTAGCCAGGCATGCAGGCAGGCACCTTTAATCCTAGCTACTCAGGAGGTGAGGCTGGAGACCTGCTTGAACCTGGGAGGCAGAGGTTGCAGTGAGCAAGACTGTACCACTGCACTCCAGCCTTGGTGACTGAGCAAAACTCCATCTCAGAGAAAAAAAAAAAAACACCAAAATACAAAAAAAACCCCACATCTCGCACTCCTCCCCTGTCTCTTTCCAGCTCTCTAGTGGGCAGCCCATCTGTCTCACCTTCTGTTTCTCTGCACTCTCTGGGTCTTTTCAGATTCAGTAAAATGAAAGGCAGGAGAGACAAGGTGCAACACCCTCTTCGGCGGTTTCAGTAGCAGGAGAAAAGGACGTGGTCAGCTGCCCTGGTGGGAAAGGTGACGTCATCTCCTGAGACCCCTGAGGGTCCTATGAGAACCCTCGACAGGAAGTGATGGTGGGAACCCAGAGCCTGCAGTGATGGAAAACACACCGGAGTTCTCGAGATTCACAAGTTTATTTCCTATTTGTATTGACAAAAAAAAAAAAAAAAAAAAGTCACAGCATTTCAGACTATTTAAACACACAAACAGGAACAGAGGGTACCTACCAGTGACAGCCTCGTCCCGAAGGTCCGGATCAAAGGCCGCACTGGAGGGTGAGGGTGTCCTATTGGGCCTCCTCCTCAGCATCCTGTGGCTCCCCGCCCCCAGCCTCGCTGACACCCCCAGAGCAGTTACAACTGTGCAGAAAGGAAGCCACTTTAGAGGAGGCCGGGCCCCACCTCACTGTCATGGAAAAAGGCCAGATTCTGAGGAAAAGACAGAATCAGTGCTACTGTGTCATTGCTTGAGGGATGCTGGGCGCTCCTGGACCTGGCTGGCATTACCTGCGTCCCAGACCGAGGGCAGAGAAAAAGGCAGGCCCCTCCCCACTTGGCAATACTGGGCAGCACAGAGTGTGGGTCACTGGTCACGTGACAGCCCCAAACTGCCACACAGACCTCTCTGACGTGATTAGCCAGACACTCTGAGGGCACAAGGCTTTCAAGCAAGAACACCAGCCTGGTTCCTAAAGGGTGTGGGTGAACAATGCTCCCAGAAATCTGAAGAAACCAACTGGCCTCAGAGTCTTGGAGTGCTGGAACAATACAGTTGTCATTGGGTTGCAGCGAGGAGGGAAACTTGGTGAACACCAGCCCCCCCAGAGGGCGGAAATATCACTCCCATTGCCCGGAGCAGGTGGCTCAGGGCTCAATTGCAGTCTTTTCACCGGGGCAAATGTGGAATCCGAGAAGAGGAAGGAAGGAAACGGCGCCCTTAGGAGGTGCTGGACATTGGTGTCTGCCCGCCAGGCCTCCTTGCTGAACCTGGTGAGAAAGCTGGGGTTGGGACTAGGAGCCCCAGCCCGCGCTGATCATCAGGCATGTCCCAGGAAAGCAGACAGGCACAAGACCCCAGTGGAAGCTGCTTTCCTCCTGTCGGTCTGACGTTACTCACTGGACCTGGCCAAGGAGCACCCACCTCTTCCGAAGTCCCCCCTCCTCGGCTCAGAGCAGTCCTTCCCGCAATTGCTACTTTCCTTGGCTACATCTAAATCACTAAATCTTTTTTTTTTTTTTTTTTCCTGAAAGATAGGACTGGATGGATGCCTGTGACTCTTTTGAAGGGGTGGCTGCTTTTACTGAGGGTGGCAGTTCATCTAACATTTTACAGCTGTAAAACGTGGCGCACAGGTGTGTAGACACTGATGTGTCAGCAGAAACCCCTGTATACCGGGTTCTGTGCTATGCTACAGATACAGAGGAACAAGGAGAGTGAGGATCCTAGGGAGAAGTTAAGCCATCTGGGCATGGTTAGGTCAGAAGCTAAAGACGTTTGGCATAGTCATTTCCAGAAATTACTACCCAGACGCACCTGGCAAGCAGGTGCGCTGTGGAACAGAGGACATAGCCTCTGAAGGTGGGCAGGAGAGCCTGGCTCGAGGCAGCTTTCACAAGAGCAGTTCCAGAGCCCCTTCCCCTTCTCCATGCCATCTGCTATGCTACTGAAAGTTATCGAGGTCAGACAGGGTCCCCTGGCTTCACTGCATTCCACGACTGCTCAGCAAGACCCGGACGCTCGGAGAGAAAAGTGTGGACACAAACTCTGCAGACACAGCCCGAAGGAGAGCGCTGCCACCCTGGATCCTTGCCAGCATGGCACTCCAGAAAAGGAAGTAATGGTGAGGGAAGGTCAGACACACAAGGGGTCCTCAGGCTGTCTAGCACACATATACACACCACTGGGGACAGCACAGAGGGAAGCAGGTTTGTCAAGGTCAGAAGCCAAGAAGAGACACAAATATTGCACATTCAGTCAAGGCATTTCCAAGAGACAGTCACAGAAATAACAACTCTTTGAGATAAAACAGCGTAACACATTTGGCAACTTTCAAAGAAACAGCCTTCCCCACCCCAAGCCATCAAAAGGTCCGTTAAGTCCCTTCATCTTTGGTCCAGTTGAAAAAGCCAGGGAAGGTAACAGGGTCAATGGGGACGAGAGGCTGCAGGCGCAGTTCCGCCAGCTCCCACAGCTCCCACAGCTCCTGCTTGGCTGGCTGACTCAGGGCAGGAAGCTGCCTGTCTCAAACCTCCTACTGGAGGGAAAGCAAGCTCTCCAGAGGGTCCTGGCTGCTGGAGAAAACTGAGGCAAAGCTGCACGTGGCAGCAGCTGAGAGCCCCAAATCCAGAGAAATGATCAATACAATAAAGGACACCCCATTCTCCCTTTCCTTGGAGGCTCTATTGATGGGAATGTGGTGTGCTATGGCATCTCTATGCTTTACCTAAAACCTCAATTCGACAAATTGCAGCTAGAACCCTTTGCATCTGCTGCAGGTCTTTGAGGGCGCACAGGAGGGGCGGTGTTCCAAAGCAGCTGCTAACGTCCAATGTGGCACACATAGGGTGAAACCATGGCACAGGGCAGGAACAATCCTCTTTCCTTTGCTCCACCTTCCTAAAAGTGCAGGCGGTTTCTCTCATCCCCCAGATTCCCAAAAGGCTCTGAACGGGAACCCAGCCCAGCTGCTGTTGTAAAGATCTGTTCTAATACTGGCTAAGAAAATGAAAACGGGTTTCTGAAAAGGTATTCTGCAGCCAGAAGTCGCATCTGTCTTCAGAGTCCTGCGGGTGGCGAGGGAGTTCCTTTAGTTTTGACCAGAACACTTCTTCACAGGGGGCCAGGCTCAGCTGTGCTTTGCAGTGGTTCAGTCACTGGACAGGAGTGAGGTTTCACTTCACAGAGGGGCTCTGCTGACTGCTCTCCTGAAGGTCTGGAGTTTCGGGGTCTTAGTTTACATTCGTGATCCTCTCTCCTGCAGAATCTGAAAGTTGGAGACGGGGGAGAGGCTGAAGCAGCTGAGGAAAAGAGAGAGACGTCGGGGGCTGCCTTCCACTGGACCCGGTGAGCGGCATGACAGTCTTGTCATCCCGGGAAGCAAGCAGGGGTGCAGCCTCAGCCTCACCCACAGTGCTTTGGTGCAAAACACCCTCTTGCTGGACACAGCTGGGTCTGAAGCCTATGCGCTGTGGAACCAAAGCTTTGCCAGCCTAAAGGGAGTGGTTCCAGTTTACCTGGTATCCGCCATTTAGAAGCTGCGTGTCTCTTGTGTGCGCGTGTGTGTCTGTGTGTATGTGGGGGATGCATGGTGGAGGGAAAAGAAACACTGTCAAACAATTTCCCAGGAACTTAAGGAAGGTAAAGGTCACAAAGGTAAGAAAACACCCTTTTTCTCCTGAGGCAGTGAAAAAACAAGTTTTAAAGAATAAAGGCGGCCGGGCGCAGTGGCTCAAGCCTGTAATCCCAGCACTTTGGGAGGCCGAGGCGGATGGATCACGAGGTCAAGAGATCAAGACCATCCTGGTCAACATGGTGAAACCCCGTCTCTACTAAAAATACAAAAAAAATCAGCTGGGCATGGTGGCGCATGCCTATAATCCCAGCTACTCAGGGGGCTGAGGCAGGAGAATTGCCTGAACCCAGGAGGTGGAGGTTGCAGTGAGCCGAGATCGCGCCATTGCACTCCAGCCTGGGTAACAAGAGCGAAATTCCGTCTCAAAAAAAAAAAAAAGAAAAAAAAGAATAAAGGCAAAATAGTTTCCAAGTCTGAGTTCAGAATTCCTACCCTCCAGTAATTAATGGTAACCAGCTTTTCTTTTCATTGATTTGGCAGAGGATGGAGAAAGCCTATCCTTTTTAGGTTCCTATTTCCTAACTAAAAACCCATCAGTGCTCTGTAAATCCCAATTTCAATTACACAGTCAAAAACAACAAAATGAGGGGAAAACACCACGCTGGCTCTAGAAGACCCAGGGAAGAAGTGAGGAGCAAGAGTTCAGGAAAATGCCATGGAGGGGCCTCGAACAAGCAGGCCACAGGCAGCTGCCCGGGGAGGGGTTCCTTACCTTCGCCTTTTCGCTCGGCTCTATGACGATGCCATTGGTAGAGTTATTTAGTTCTCTGGAGACAACACAGAGGAATTCTGCCTGATCCTCATTGCCATAGTTATAGGAAGATCCGATGCTGATGAGCTGATGAGCCAAGAATACAGTGAACATGCACAAAGCGATCTTTTTTTTTTTTTTTTTTTTTTTTTTTTTTTTGAGACGGAGTTTCGCTCTTGTTGCCCAGGCTGGAGTGCAATGGCATGATCTCGGCTCACCGCAACCTCCGCCTCCTGGGTTCAGGCAATTCTCCTGCCTCAGCCTCCTGAGTAGCTGGGATTACAGGCACGCACCACCATGCCCAGCTAATTTTTTGTATTTTTAGTAGAGACGGGGTTTCACTATGTTGACCAGGATGGTCTCGATCTCTTGACCTCGTGATCCACCCACCTCGGCCTCCCAAAGTGCTGGGATTACAGGCTTGAGCCACCGCGCCCGGCTGCACAAAGCGATCTTAACACAGTAAAGTGCTACACAAATCAACCCTCCTCCGACCGAACTTTTGTTTTACTTCTCAAAGGATAAAGAATTCTCTGGGACCACCAAAGCCCCAGGGTGTAAATGGGCCTGTTCTTCATCAGGGCATCCTCAGTGAGGCTTCCCCGGGGAAAAAGTACGAGCTCCAGCACTGTCCCTTCACCCAATCTCTGAAGTCCCCCTATAGGCAGCGGCCGGCCGGATTAACACACCCACACTCCCTTCATCACAGCAAGGGCAGAGACAACACATCTGTGAACAAAATGGACACGTGCTTCAGTCACACAAAGAGCTGGCTCCTCTTTCAGCAGAAGCTGTAGACAGGAGACTGGTACTCAGAAGGCTCTGGAAAGTACCAATTGAATCACTGATCAGCTACTGGAAGTCATATGGTGCTGGTACTTTTTTTTTTCCAGACAAGGTCTTGCTCTGTCACCCAAGCTGGAGTGCAATGGTGCAATCACAGCTCACTGCAGCCTCCACCTCCTGGGCTCAAGTGATCCTCCCACCTCAGCCTCCTGAGTAGCTGGGACTACAGGTGTGTGCCACCATGCCTGGCTAATTTTATTTTTCATAAAGAAGGGGTGGGGTCTCACTATGTTGCCCAGTCTGGCCTCTGAACTCAAGGACTCAAGCGATCCTCCCACCATGGCCTCCCAAAGTGCTGAGATTACAGGTGTGAGCCACCGCGTAGTACTTTTAACCTTTTTGGAGAATGAAATTCAGTATTTAATTCTAAATGGGGCCGGGCGCGGTGGCTCACGCCTATAATCCCAGCACTTTGGGAGGCCGAGGCGGGTGGATCACAAGGTCAAGAGATTGAGACCATCCTGGTCAACATGGTGAAACCCTGTCTCTACTAAAAATACAAAAATTAGCTGGGCATGGTGGTGAGTGCCTGTAGTCCCAGCTACTCGGGAGGCTGAGGCAGAAGAATTGCTTGAACCCAGGAGGCAGAGGTTGCAGTGAGCTGAGATTGTACCATTGCACTCCAGCCTGGGTAACAAGAGTGAAACTCTGTCTTAAAAAAAAAAAAAAAAGAAAAATTCTAAAGGGGAAATATACATGCAGGGGAGCAGCTCAGGCAGAGAGTGAGGGCATCCCAGTGAGCAGGTGAGGCGTCATGTGGGCAGCACGGCTGACTGTGGTAGGATGGGGCTCAGGGTGCTTCCGCCTGGCTGAAACTAACTTCCTCATCCAGAAGGGAGGCAATGAGAACACCCTCCGTCCTCCCACAGGACGGTAATAAGACGAGAAATGTAACAAGAAATTATTCATTAGTTTCACAAAGAATAATTTTTAAAAAATCATTTGCTTAAGACCTCGTATCAGGAAAAATACTTCTGCAGTGGAGGGCATTAAACTCTTGGCAACGTTTTACAACCCATGCCCAGTGAGAACCAAGCTGACAGCACAGGCAGAGTGGATTCCGTGGTGGAAGCTAAACGTGAGGAATAATCAGCACTGTCTCTGAAGACGGAGACGGCTTTGCACTTGATCTGTAAGATCATACCATTAATGCAAAGTGTGAGTTTTCTTTTAGAAGGTAAGCATCTGGGCCGGGCGCGGTGGCTCAAGCTTGTAATCCCAGCACTTTGGGAGGCCGAGGCGGGTGGATCACGAGGTCGAGAGATCGAGACCATCCTGGTCAACATGGTGAAACCCCGTCTCTACTAAAAATACAAAACATTAGCTGGGCATGGTGGCACGTGCCTGTAATCCCAGCTACTCAGGAGGCTGAGGCAGGAGAATTGCCTGAACCCAGGAGGCGGAGGTTGCGGTGAGCCGAGATCGCGCCATTGCACTCCAGCCTGGGTAACAAGAGTGAAACTCCGTCTCAAAAAAAAAAAAAAAAAAAAAAAAAAAAAAAAAGGTAAGCATCTGGTGAGACAGCTGCTGACCTCTTAAAACTCTACACGTAAGTAGGCATAATCCATATAAAATCATATTTACTCTATTTGCTCTGGCCTTCCTGTGTTTTGAAGGCAACAAGACAACTGAACAAGTCTGCCATCTAATGGAGGAAGACAGTGAAGCTCCTGCTGCCAGCTTTGTTTTGATAGCTTATTCGTGAACTCGAAGTGGGGAGCAATGGGGGAAACGGCCACACCACACTTCCCACGGTGCCCGAGCCCTTCCTAGCACAGCTGTTCACCAAGCTCTTCGTGGCGGATTACACAGACATTCAGAACCAGAAAGTTCTGATCCTGGGAAAAGAAATGGAAGGCTTGTTGTCGAATCCCAGTCTCCTTTAGGGACTCATTCTAGAATCCCTGTGAGGCAACACAAACCAAAGGGAGGCACTTTGAAGCCTCAAGTGCTCGCTGACTCCCCTGCAAAGTCTGGGTGTGAAGCTAAGACATGAAGCTTCTCTGTTCCCCCAAATCCTCGTGTGCCACGGAGCAGCAGCACCACCGCATCTCTATTCCCTACTCCTCATGTGCCACTGACCAGCAGTGCCCACTGAATCTCTGTTCCCCCAACTCCTCACATACCACTGACCAGCAGTGCCCACCGAATGGCTCTTTGTCCATGTTTTGGAAAAGAATCCCACGTGGCTCTACCCATCTCCCAGGGTTATTAATTGGCCATCTACAGTGATTGTTCGAAGAGCTGCAGAACTCCTGAAGGGGGTCTGGGGTGGCTGCTCTGTAAGAGATGTACCTGTTCGAATTTCCACCCGTCGGACATCGTGGAGACCATCTGTGTGAGCTCCTCTTCTTGACACTGCAGGACTCTGTACACATGTTTCACGGGGCCCTGCAACAACCAGGCACAGACTGAGAACATCAAAGGCACCACAGTTTGCAGGTGCCCCGAGGGGGCTCTTCAAATGAATCAACATTGAAAAGGAGTTTGCTTGGAAATCTTTTCTTGGAAGCCACCCACTGTCCCCTTTTACAAATAGTACTATGGCGTTTCTATTCCCCACCCCCACTTTAAAAAATGTTTTTCTTTTTAAATGACCACAAGCCAGGATACTGTGGCTTTTCAATAAAAACTTATCCAAGGAAAGAAAGAAAAAAAAGGTAAAATAATTCTAACTTCAGAGGGATGAATGATTGAGCAACTATGCTGACAAACTTAGATTTAATGCATTTCCCCAAGTCAAAAATAAGATAAAATTAGTATTATTATTATTAGTTTTTTTTTTTTTTTTTGAGACGGAGTTTCGCTCGTTACCCAGGCTGGAGTGCAATGGCGCATCTCGGCTCACGGCAACCTCCGCCTCCTGGGTTCAGGCAATTCTCCTGCCTCAGCCTCCTGAGTAGCTGGGATTACAGGCACGAGCCACCATGCCCGGCTAATTTTTTGTATTTTTAGTAGAGACGGGGTTTCACCATGTTGACCAGGATGGTCTCGATCTCTCGACCTCGTAATCTACCCGCCTCGGCCTCCCAAAGTGCTGGGATTACAGGCTTGAGCCACCGCGCCCGGCCCAATTGTTTTATAGTACAAAATGTAGAGTGTCACAAAAGATCTGGGACGTTGGCCACAGTTGTCAAAGTCCCAGTTATTTAAGATGCCATTATATTGCCTCTTTTTTTTCTCTCTTCCAAAGTAAACCACTGGTGCTCTCAAATGCACCAAGAGCAATCACCTGCAAAAAATGCTATCATAAGAAATAGAAGGCTGGGTATGGTGGTTCATGCCTGTAATTCCAGCACTTCAGGAGGCTGAGGCGGGTGGATCACCTGAGGTGAGGAGTTCGAGACCAGCCTGGCCAACACAGGGAAATCCTGTCCCTAGTAAAAATACAAAAATTAGCCGGGCATGGTGGTGCACTCTGTAATTCCAGCTACTCAAGAGGCTGAGGCAGGAGAAGTGCTTGAACCCAGGAGGCAGAGGCTGCAGTAAGCTGAGATTGCACCACTGCATTCCAGCCTGGGCAACACAGCGAGACTCCATCTCAAAAAAAAAAAAAAAGGAAAAAGAAAGAGGAAAGTAGTTAGGTGGCAGCCACTAACAGCTAAGAACAAAGATGGGGTCGAGGCCCACATCTTGGGCTTGGCTTGAATGCTGCATGTGTGAAGGACTACAGGTAAGTTCAAAGAGATAACGTGTTTGAAAATCCACACACACAAAATAAAATAAAAAAAGGAAACAAAATGAAAATCCACACATGGCCAACCGTATCTTACAGCCATGTATGATAAGTGCCAAAGAGGGTGTCTTTGAACAACATCAAATTCGTTTTCAGTTTCACTACATAAAAAGGACAGATGGAAAGATCAGCTAAGATCAAAAGGTCTTGACATTCCTAGAACAAAAAAGCTTCCAAAGGGGTATGAATCCACAAGGCTTCAGAATCTACAAGACAAATTAATTTAATTGTGGTCACCAAATAGAAATCTTATAATGCTCTCTAGGAATTAGCTGATGATGAAGAAGGGAGAATGTTCAGGTACCACGATTTGAATCATTTCAAATTACAAAATTCATGGTATCATCAAAATTTACAGTAAGCAGTCATTTTTTAGAATGTGGAAAATTGAAGATAAGACTAGATTACCAAAATGTCTAAACTATTAAATATCTACAATAAAATAAGCTGGGCATGGTGGTGCGTGCCTGTAATCCCAGCTACTCAGGAGGCTGAGGCAGGAGAATTGCCTGAACCCAGGAGGCGGAGGTTGCGATGAGCTGAGATCGCGCCATTAAACTCCAGCCTAGATAACAAGAGCGAAAGTCTGCCTCAAAAAAAAAAAAAAAAAAAAAAGCCGGGCGCGGTGGCTCAAGCCTGTAATCCCAGCACTTTGGGGGGCTGAGGCGGGTGGATCACGAGGTCGAGAGATCGAGACCATCCTGGTCAACATGGTGAAACCCCGTCTCTACTAAAAATACAAAAAAATTAGCTGGGCATGGTGGCACGTGCCTGTAATCCCAGCAACTCAGGAGGCTGAGGCAGGAGAATTGCCTCAACCCAGGAGGCGGAGGTTGCGGTGAGCCAAGATCGTGCCATCACACTCCAGCCTGGGTAACAAGAATGAAACTCCGTCTCAAAAAAAAAAAAAAAAAAAAAATCTACAAGATACCACATAAATTTAAGATACCAAAGAGACTGGTGACAGTGGATCACATTTCAAGTAATAATCTGCAAACCAACTACAAAGCCACCTTTGAACATCAAAAAGGAGCCTTTCAGCTGTAAGCCAGATGGAAGAAAACTAAATGAATAAAAGCCCTTCTCTTCACCTTTGCAAACTGCTGGAGAAAGTGGATAGGAGAGTTAATTTTTCATCATTAGTGTCAGTTACTCATCCACATATTCCATTTAGAGCCAGAAAACTTTTTTTTTTTTTTGAGATGGAGTCTCACTCTGTTGCCCAAGCTGGAGTACAGTAGTAGCATCTCAGTTCACTGCAACCTCCGCTATCTTGGTTCAAGTGGTTCTCCTGCTTCAGCCTCCAGAGTAGCTGGAATTACAGGCGTCTGCTACCACATCCGGCCAATTTTTGGTAGAGATGGGGTTTCACCATGCTGGCTGGCTGGTCTTGAACTTCTGACATCAAGTGATCCACTCGCCTCAGCCTCTCAGAGTGCTGGGATTAGAGGCGTGAGCCACCGCACCTGGCCTAGAGCCAGAAAACTTTGAAACATGAAGTCTAACACAAAAAGGACAGGTATTATTTTTTACTTTTATAAAGAAACTTATGCCAGGCATGGTGGCTCATGCCTGTAATCCTAGCACCTTGGGAGGCCCAGCTGGGTGGATCACTTGAGTTCAAGGAGTTTAAGACCAGCCTGGCCAATACGGCGAAACTCCATCTCTACGCACTCCAGCCTGGGTCACAGACCGAGACTTTGTCTCAAAAAAGAAAAAACTTAAAGAAACATACGGCCTTCTTAACGGCTGGAAAATTCTGTGCTGCAACAGATTACACTTAAAGCATCTAACACCAGTATCTGATAGGGTAAGAAGCAATTATGCTACAAGACAGGTAGCCATGGTGGAGTAAGACTCTGCCCTCTCTTACTGTTAACTCTGTAGCTGCAGTTTCTTTCTTTTTTCTTTTCTAATTTTCCCAAGACCTCTTAATTCCAAAGTTGCAGTTTCTTAAAACAGAGTTTAAACGCGTAAAAGAGAGGGTCTATTTTTCTGGCTAGACTTCAACCTTCTTGAGGGCAAGGACTTTCAATTACTTACAGAGTCCCAAGGGCCTAATAGAAGCTATTATGGCCATTCAAACACATGATGAATGGCAAGATGTAAAATAGGTATGCCCTAACACCTTTCCTCTAACTAGGTGGGCAAATTCCCTTTCACTCTTGTTACTCTGAGTTAGTATAAAAATCAAGGCCAGGCGCAGTTCACACCTGTAATCCCAGTACCTTGGGAGGACAAGGTGGGTGGACTACTTGAGTCCAGGAGTTTGAGATCAGCCTGGTCAACAAAGCGAAACCTCCTCTCTACCAAAAATACAAAAAATTAGCCAGGCATGGTGGCTTGTACCTGTAGTCCCACCTACTCGGGAGGCTGTTGTGGGAGAATCACTTGAGCCTGCAAAGTAGGAGCTGTATGTGACTCCATTACGTGCTAAAGGCTTGTCTCCATAGAGAGTGGCCAACAGGTGGAACCAAGACTTCTCCAGTCTTTAGGAGGGAGACATGCTCAGTCAGAGAGCATAGGTTGTGGACCTTAAGTGCCCTGGGTGCCGCCTCCTGCCATCTGGTGAGCAGTCACAATCTTCTCATTCTACTGGGACATAGACCTATTCTGTTTCCTTTGTTGTTTCTTCTTTCCTGTTTTCTGCTGTGCAGTTTGGCTGAGTGTGCATTCCCTGCATTGCGAACAGACAGTGCCCCACACAGACCTCTAGCTCTAAGGGGAAAGGCATCCTTTTTCAATCACAGACAACCGACGGAGGGCCGCTTGAGACATCCCCCACTTAACAGTTCCAAACACATTACTTGTGAAGTTCTGTTCTCATTGTCCCGTATCCTTTCCTTAACCAGCCGCACAAGGGACGCGATGTTGTAAAACTCCGCTTCCTCTAGCACACCTGGAACAAGGACCAAACCGCAGTCAGACAGGTGTGTGAGTTTGCCAGGAAAACACCAAGGAGAGGTTGAAGGTTACATGCTTGCTAAAAACTGCTTTATTTATCTATTTACTTACTTACTTACTTATTTTTTGAGACAGAGTCTCACTCTGTCACCCAGGCTGGAGTGCCATGGTGGGATCTCGGCTCACTGCAACCTCCGCCTCCTGGGTTCAAACGATTCTCCTGCCTCAGCCTCCCGAGTAAGAGGGAATACAGGTGCGGGCCACGACGTCAGGCTAATTTTTGTATGCTTTTTCCCCCCAGATGGAGTTTCACTCTTGTTGCCCAGACTGGAGTACAATGACGTGATCTCGGCTCACCATAGCCTCCACCTACTGGGTTCAGGCGATCCTCCTGCCTTAGCCTCCCGAGTAGCTGGGAGTACAGGTGCCCGCCACCAGCTAATTTTTTTTAAAATTTTTAGTAGAGACGGGGTTTCATCATGTTGGCCAGGCTGGTCTCAAACTCCTGACCGCAGGTGATCTGCCCATCTCAACCTGCCAAAGTGCTAGGATTACAGGCATGAGCCACAGCTCCTGGCCTAAAAATGGCATTATTTAAATGCAAATCTAATCTCTCTCCCTCTGCCTAGGAAATCTCTCTTTGCTATTTTCAGTATGCCCATGACCTTTTCTCCAACATAAATTAGTCAAACACCAGGGTATGCTCTGCTTACTCCATTTCAACCCTCCTTCCTCTACCTGGCACCTGCCCATTAGCTGCAGGATACCTTTCCCATATGTCACTTAGTTCCTGGAGCTAGTCATGTTGGACACCTCCTGAACTGGATATTTATGCCCAATTTGCCCTTAAGAAAACTGGAGTAGTGTGGGTGCAGGTGTGTGCACAAATTTATGTGGACCAAAATTAATAGGATGCTAATCATTTAAACAACATAAGCCGGGAGCGGTGGCACACACCTGTAATCCCAGCACTTTGGGAGGCCGAGGCGTGTGGATCACAAGGTCAGAAGTTCAAGACCAGCCTGGCCAACATGGTGAAACCCCGTCTCTTTTCAAAAAAATATATAAATAAATAAATAAACAAACAACATAAAAGGCACTCATTGAAAGACTCCCATGCTAAATTAATTCAAAGGCCTTAGGACAACTATGAGATGTGTGATCACACAGGAACAAATTTGCTATAAAGGTTATTACTGGCCGGGCGCGGTGGCTCAAGCCTGTAATCCCAGCACTTTGGGAGGCCGAGGCGGGTGGATCACGAGGTCAAGAGATCGAGACCATCCTGGTCAACATGGTGAAACCCCGTCTCTACTAAAAATACAAAAAATTAGCTGGGCATGGTGGTGTGTGCCTGTAATCCCAGCTACTCAGGAGGCTGAGGCAGGAGAATTGCCTGAACCCAGGAGGCGGAGGTTGCGGTGAGCCGAGATCGCGCCATTGCACTCCAGCCTGGGTAACAAGAGCGAAACTCCGTCTCAAAAAAAAAAAAAAAAAAAAAAAAGGTTATTACTAGGACAACAAAATAAGCTGTATATAAAAGTATCAATATTAGGCCGGGCGCGGTGGCTCAAGCCTGTAATCCCAGCACTTTGGGAGGCCGAGGCGGGTGGATCACGAGGTCGAGAGATGGAGACCATCCTGGTCAACATGGTGAAACCCCGTCTCTACTAAAAATACAAAAAATTAGCTGGGCATGGTGGCGCGTGCCTGTAATCCCAGCTACTCAGGAGGCTGAGGCAGGAGAATTGCCTGAACCCAGGAGGCGGAGGTTGCAGTGAGCCGAGATCGCGCCATTGCACTCCAGCCTGGGTAACAAGAGCGGAACTCCGTCTCAAAAAAAAAAAAAAAAAAAAAGTATCAATATTAAATTTCCTGAGTTTGATAACTGTACTGTTTGTGGTTATATAAGAGAATATCCTAGTTCTTGAGAAATCATACAAATATTAAGGGGTGAAATCTGCAATTTATTCTTAAATGGTTTAGAAATAAGACTTGTGGGGGGGAAAAAAAAAAAAAAACAAAACTTGTAGGCCGGGCATGGTGGCTTACGTCTATAATCCTAGGACTTTGGGAGGCCGAAGTGGGTGGATCACCTGAGGTCAAGAGTTCAAGACCAGCCTGGTCAACATGGTGAAACCCCATCTTTAAAGAAAAAAGGATTGTGGTTGGAGAGGCAAGAGGATGGGGGAGGACGAGGGAAAAAGAGAGGATGAAGGACAATGCAAATATGATTTTTTTTTTTTGAGACGGAGTTTCGCTCTTGTTACCTAGGCTGGAGTGCAATGGCGCGATCTCGGCTCACCGCAACCTCCGCCTCCTGGGTTCAGGCAATTCTCCTGCCTCAGCCTCCTGAGTAGCTGGGATTACAGGCACGCGCCACCATGCCCAGCTAATTTTTTGTATTTTTACTAGAGACGGGGTTTCACCATGTTGACCAGGATGGTCTCGATCTCTCGACCTCGTGATCCACCCGCCTCAGCCTCCCAAAGTGCTGGGATTACAGGCTTGAGCCACCGCGCCCGGCGAGACTCAGACTTTTAAAAAAACAAACAAACAAAATCTCCCCAAACCCCAAAAATGACAAAAATAACATTGAAAATTGGTTAATCTGGGATAAAGGGAGTTCTCTGTGTTATTCTTACTCTTTTCTCTAAGTTTTGAATTACTTCAAACTACAGTTTTTTAATTAAAGGCATTAGAAAAGATACTTAACTAAAAGAGGATAATTGAATTGTTTGTAATACAAAGGATAGATGCTTGAGGGGATGGATACTTCACTTTCCATGATATACTTATTTCACACAGCATGCTTGTATCACAACATCTCAGGTCGGGCACGTGGGCTCAGGCCTGTAATCCCAGCACTCTGGGAGACCGAGGTGGGTGCATCACCTGAGGTCAGAAATTGGAGACCAGCCTGGCCAACATGGTGAAACCCTGTCTCTATTAAAAATACAAAAAATTAGCCAGGCATGGTGGCGCACGCCTATAGTCCCAGCTACTTGGGGGGGGCTGAGGCAGGAGAATTTCTTGAACCCGGAGGCAGAGGTTGCAGTGAGCTGACATCATGCCAGTGCACTCCAGCCTGGGCAACAGAGGGAGAGTCCATCTCAAAAAGAAAAGAAAAGAAAAGTCTTACATACTCCATAAATATATATACACCTACTATGTACCCCCCAAAATTAAAATTTTTTTTTAAAAAAGAAAGAAGACTGCCCACGAGTTGGTAATTGTTGAAGCTGGGTAGTGGATGCACGGATTTCACTGTACTATTCCCATTACTTTTGTATGCATTTGAAATACTGTTTAAAAACAGACATTTAAAAAAACCAGAGAGGGCAATTCCTCTTTTTACTGGCTGAAACAGAGTTGTTTTGCAGTCACTTCATTAACTACTACAGCCATTACAAGCTTTCTTACTCAGAGCCAAAGCTCCCAGATCAGGGTGCCCTGGATTTATGGACAGTCCCCTTTACAACTGAATGCCTTCAGTGGGACCATGCCAAGCCTTGTAGAAAGTGGACTAGACCCACTTACAGTCCCAATGCCCTACAAACCAAAAGATGAGGCAACTGATGATACACCTGACAATGAACTAGAGAATGAATTAGGTCAGCTGCAAGCATTTACAGGGAAGCATGAGGCCAGAGTCTTAAAAGAAATGAGGCCAAGCCTTTATCATTTTTGTACAACTGCGAGTTCAAACCAAAGTTGAAACTATAAATAGCTGAATGTCAGAGATGTCTTGGTTCTTCAGACTAGAGACACTCACTGGTAGCAAACAAATAAATGTAAAAAAAAGGATCATGACAATTTTAGAGATTTGGAAAGAACTCCTGAAGTTATCCGCAAAGCTGAGGTACCTATCTTCCTGCTCACCAAGAAGCTGAACAGAGCCTAAGAAGGCTTCCTTAAACATGACTCCCTCGGACAAGCCTGGTAACTGAAGGCTTCCTGTGCAGTTTCATAAACCCGAAACTATACCTGCACGTGAGCTTGATGAAACTCTCAAACGAAATTTAAATCAGTAGAACAACTTTAAAGATTCGACTTGAATTTTGAAAACCCCCAATACAAACAGTCCTCTTACCTTCTTCTGCCAACTCCTTAGTAATGATGAGTTTCCCATGGCGGAGGTAGTTCAGGATAGGACCAAAGTAGGTGGGGTCCCTGTCAATCAGATATGCCCCCGTCTCATCCTGCCAACCGAACACAAGGGTATCATTGTAGAGCTTTGAGGAGCATTTTAAACAAAGGCAGCAGAGGGTTTCATCATCTTTGTCAGCGCCCCAAGACAACAATTCATTCAATCAGCTAAAAAAATTTTAGTGATGGTAAGTTTTGCTACCCATTTGCTTATCACAAACTATTGGTAAGAAAGCCGGCTTTATATATCTTGTACATGAACATCATCTTAGGGTGTTACAGACACACAGTGATACTCATTTAGGTGTTTACTTACTGGCTGGAATTCGAAAATCTTTGCCTGGACAATAATTACAATGCCAAACATTGTTCTGTAGACTGTCTGTTATTAAGAAAGGGGGAAAATGTCATAGCTGTGTAATTGAAGTCTTTGCTTGAGATGGACATTCTGACTTCTCCACTGCCCCTGAACTGCATTCCTAATTCTAAGAAAACCTCTGTGTAGCTGGCAATGCTCCAGAGCTCAAGGCCAACATCAGTGGGAGTTTGCACTGCCAGCTGTAATCTCACACACCCCAGCTCTGTGCCCAGAGGAAGCTTGGTACTGCCAGGACTTGGCTCTGAGAAGCTTTAATCCTACTCATCTTTACAGTAAAAGGAACAAGAAGAAACTGCTTCTATTACCACAAGGAGGATATAGGGTAGATAAAAATAATTCCTTTATCAGCAAGGGTTTTGAAATCTCTTTAAAGTTAGGGCAGGATAGGTTTCCATCAATCTGAGATTTCTTAGAGGAGAGATGGAAGAGGAATAAACAAAAACAACGAATGTTTATGCAACCCCAGCTCGGTTTCGAGGGGTGACCACCTGAGTGCTATATGAGAACTTGAAGGTGAACACATAAAGTCAAAAAGAAATTGACACAGTTCAAACTGGAAATGACTTAAGTGTCTTGTCATCTCTCAACCCTTTGGTTAGCAGCCATGCATCTTGCCCACCACCACTCTTGAGATTTTCATTTTCCTTCTGTCTTAGCCGGTTAGCCTAGATTTGCAGCGGCAAACGGTAACCTCTTTCCAAAAAACGCATTTGATCTAAATATGGACCTAAACCAGTGACTGTTACCAGATAAAAGTTCTTCGACCAGGACTATAGGAAAGCAGTGTGATATCACAAGAAGCACTTCCTGCAGCTGTCGAAGCCCAACTTGGCAGAGGGGTCCGAGAGGAAGTCTGAGAAAGCCACAAGGATGGCTGAGCTCACCCTGACCCAGTTCTGGATGCATCTGGCACCGGCAGTGGGGGGCCGAAGAAGAGCCAAGGAAAACTCAGGCAGATCTCAGTGGGATGTCAGGGGCAGAGAACATGGAGAAGGGGTGTGGAGTGCGTTCTCGTGGGTGCGGGTGGGCGCAGTGTGGGAAGGAGTCTCAGAGAACGAAGGGCGGGGTCAGGGAGAAAGCCGGAGTGTGCCTGAACATGGGAGAGAATGGGAAGAGGGAGGTCCCTCTGAGGTCCCTGCGCTTAGCGTGGAAGGCAGGGGGAGGAGGGGATCCAGGCCTGAGGGGACTGCCTGTGAGGACCCTGTCTCAGGCCTCTGGGGACGGATCTAGGAGAAATGACGGGGTTCGAAGGCCCGGGGGCGCGCCCGAGGGCGGGGCACACCTTGTCTGAGTCCAGCTCCGGGTCCTCCTGGCAGCAGAGGCGGCAGAGGAAAGACTTGGGCTCCCGGCCTAACGTCTGTCTGGTGGTCACGAAGTAGGTGCCTCCCACGTTCAGCCTGACCCAGCGGGCCGCGCCGCCGCCCCCTGCCCGCTCGGGGGGTCCGGGACCGGGCTCCAGTGGCTGCGCGACGGCGGCGGCCGGGCGGCCGTGCCCGCGGGGCGTGGGGCCAGCCGGGCGTGGGCTGGGAGGCCCGCGGACTGGGCCGCCTCCGTCGCCCACCCCGCTCCCACCGCCCCCTCCCAGCCCCGCCATCGCCGGGTCCAGCTGCAGCTCCGCCATCTTGGGCTGCCGCCGCCGCCGCTGCCGCCGTCGTCGTCGTCGCCGCTGCCCGCGCGCAAGCCGGGCCGGCCCATTTCTCGGCAGGGAGAGCCGGGCCGGCCCATCGGCGGGGGTGGGGCGGGGGGAGAGGGACGGGAGCGCCCCCAACCAGCGCCCGGGGACCCGCGCGGCGGAGGCGCTGTGCCCGCCCCCGGGGCGAGACTTCCGAAACCAGCCCTCATTTCTATTGGCTGATCTGCGAAACAAGGCCCACCCCCTTGGCTTTGGAGTTGGCTGAGGGAAGACCTTCCGGTGACCCACTGCCGTTACTTGTTGCTGTGGACCTTAGGCCGCAGGGATAGGTGGTGAAGGTGAGTGGGGCTTCGGGCGTTGGATCCCATCCCTGGAGTTCTCCTTTGCTCTGCCACCTCCAAACCTCACCTCGTCAGGGACGCCAGGCCCTTGGGTTGCCCCGCTGGCAGAGTGTCCTTTGTATAGCTGCCGCGCCTCTCCTCGCTATCCCTTTCTCACCCCTCCCGGGCGCGGGGTCACCTGGGCCCGGCTGTGTCCTGGGCGCCGCTGATTTAGGCTTTGCCATAAGTCGTGTCTCGTGCAGTCCGCTCCCAGCGCAGCAGACTTCGATAGTCTTCTGGGGGGACTGTGGAAAGGTTACGCAGAAGGTGTTAACTTGCCTAGGGACGCTCAGCGGGCTGCGGGGCTGCGCACTTCCTCTCCCTCCGGCGGCTTCCAGGATTCGAACGGGTAGAGCGTTCAGGGCTCCTCAAATGCAGGATTCAGTTACTCATTCAGGAAAGATTTATTGTGCGTCTCCTATGCGCATGACCTGTTCTAGGTGCTCGGGATTAAGCAATAGATTTTCTTCTTTTTCAGACGGAGTTTCGCTCATGTTGCCCAGGCTGTAGTGCTGTGGCGCGATCTCCGCTCACTACAACCTCTGCCTCCCAGGTTCAAGCGATTCTCCTGCCTCAACCTCCCCAGTAGCTGGGATTACAGGCACGCGCCACCACTCCCGGCTAATTTTGTATTTTTAGTAGACATGGTGTTTCTCCATATTGGTCAGGCTGGTCTCGAACTCCTGACCCCAGATGATCCACCCGACTGGGCCACCCGAAGTGCTAGGATTACAGGCGTGAGCCGCCTCACCTGGCCTTTTATTTGTTTAAGTCAGAGTCTCACTCTGTTGCCAGGCTGGAGTGCAGTGGTGTGATCTCGGCTCACTGCAACCTCCGCCTCCCGAGGTCAAGTGATTCTTGTGAAGGCTTGGATGTTTCTAAGATTTAAAGGATTCTCTCTAAGAGCTCTTATTTTGATACTTATTATTTTTTTCCTAACTGAAAATTCACCTCATAAAAAAAGCCTTGTTTTGATCTGACTTATTTTTCAGGATCCCAAGATGGCTGGGCGAAAACTTGCTCTAAAAACCATTGACTGGATAGCTTTTTGGGAGATCATACCCCCAAACCAAAAGGCCGTTGCTAATACCCTGAAATCCTGGAATGAGATCCTCACCTCCAGGTCAGTATGTTTCTGAGAGAGAACCCCATACTTGCCACTGGATCTAGAAAGAAAACAGTATTGGCTGGGCGCGGTTGCTCATGCTTGTAATCCCAGCACTTTGGGAGGCCAAGGCGGGCAGATCACAAGGTGAAGAGATCGAGACCATCCTGGCCAACATGGTGAAACCCTGACTCTACTAAAAATACAAAAAAGTTAGCCAGGTGTGGTGGCATGTGCCTGTGGTCCTAGCTACTCGGAAGGCTGAGGTGGAAGAATCGCTTGAACCCAGGAGGCGGAGGTTGCAGTGAGCCGAGATTGCGTCACTGCACTCCAGCGACAGAGCAAGGCTCTGCCTCAAAAAAAAAAAAAAAAAAAGAAAGAAAGAAAACAGTATTAAGGAATTACAAGCCGCGCACAGTGGCTCAAGCCTGTAATCCCAGCACTTTGGGAGGCCGAGGCGGGTGGATCACGAGGTCAAGAGATCGAGACCATTCTGGTCAACATGGTGAAACCCCGTGTCTACTAAAAATACAAAAATAAATTAGCTGGGCGCGTGCCTGTAATCCCAGCTACTCAGGAGGCTGAGGCAGGAGAATTGCCTGAACCCAGGAGGCGGAGGTTGTGGTGAGCCGAGATCGCGCCATTGCACTCCAGCCTGGGTAACAAGAGCGAAACTCTGTCTCAAAAAAAAAACACACACACACACAAGGAATTACAAATGAGTTCTTGATGCCCTTCTGACAACATATAAAGAAATTCTTGCTTTCTTTTTTTTTTGCAGACAGAGTTTCACTCTTGTTGCCCAGGCTGGAGTGCAATGGTATATAATCTTAGCTCACCACCACTTCTGCCTCCCAGGTTCAAGCAATTCTGCCTCAGCCTCCTGAGTAGCTGGGGTCACAGGCATGGGCCACCATGACCAGCTAAGTTTTTTGTATTTTTAGTGGAGATGGGGTTTTTGTGGGTTTCTTCATGTTGCTCAGGGTGGTCTCGAACTCCGGATCTCAGGTGATCTGCCTGCCTCGGCCTTCCAAAGGGCCAGGATTACAGGTGTGAGCCACCATGCTTGGCCAATCCTTGCATTTTCATGATGATCCTAGGAGAGGAAAGTGTGATAACTCTCCAGGCCATAGAAAGAAGGGATGGGAAATAGTGAATTTTCTACTGCTTATAAACAATCCTAACTTTGCCTTTCCTTGTGAGCAGGTTGGCTGCTTTACCTGAGAATCCACCATCTATTGACTGGGCTTACTACAAGGCCAATGTGGCCAAGGCAGGCTTGGTGGATGACTTTGAGAAGAAGGTAAGACTTCCAGACCTCTAAAACACTGAGCTTGTAATATGCTCGTGTGTTGTGGGGAGCAGGAATGTGAATAGTTACATACGCAGCATGACAGTCAGACCCTTAAGGAAGCTTAGGAAAAATGAGTATGGCCAAAGGCCTTGTGGTAGATTTAACTGTAAATAGGCGCAGGTATTTAGGCTCTGTCCATTCAGCAGTACAGTGTAGCCTTAATCTGGGAGCCAGAGGGCTTTCTGATTAGAACGGGAGTTTTGACCTGCTCTGTTTCTGACCTGGGCTGTTTCACACCCTCCTTAGGCAACCTGGTGGGCTCCTGCTCCCCGGAGGTCACCATATTGATGCCGAACTTAGTGCAGACACCCGAACAATATAATGCACTAAGCCTAGAACTCCTGGGCTCAAGCGGTCCTCCCGCCTCAGCCTTCCGAGTAGCTGGGACTATAGGCATGCGCCACCACGCCCCAGAGGGCTCTCAAGTTAAATGTTTGCCCACCTCTTGGGTTCCTTTTAGCTTCCTACCTGTCTCCCTTTGGAACAAACTAATGTTTCTTCCACTCTTTTCCTGTCCTTTTTCTTTTCTTTTCTTTTTTTTTTTTTTGGAGATAGAGTCTTGCTCTGTTGCCCAGGCTGGAGTGCAGTGGCGTGATCTCAGCTCACTGCAACCTCTGCCTCCCAAGTTGAAGCGATTCTCCTGCCTCAGCCTCCTAAGTAGCTGGAACTAAAGGTATACACCACCACACCCAGCTAATTTTTGGTATTTTTAGTAGAGACCGGGTTTCACCATGTTGGCCAGGCTGGTCTCAAACTCCTAACCTCAAGTGATCTGCCTGCCTCAGCCTCCCACAGTGCTAGGATCACAGATTTGAGCCACTGCACCCAGCCTCCTGTTTGTTTTTTTGAGACAGGGTCTGGCTCTGTTGCCTGGGCTGGAGTGCAGTGGTGCAATCTTGACTCACTACAGCCTTTGCCTCCCAAGCTCAAGCCATCCTTTTACCTTAGCCTCCTGAGTAGCTGGTGCATGCCGCCACCACACCTGACCAATTTTCGTAGTTTTTTCTTTTTTGGTAAAGACAGGGTTTTGCCATGTTGCCCAGGCTGGTCTCAAACTCCTGGGCTCAGGTGATCCACTTCTCTACTCTTTTTTTTTTTTTTGAGACGGAGTTTTGCTCTTGTTATCCAGGCTGGAGTGCAATGGCACGATCTCAGCTCACCGCAACCTCCGCCTCCCGGGTTCAGGCAATTCTCCTGCCTCAGCCTTCTGAGTAGCTGGGATTATAGGCACGTGCCACCATGCCCAGCTAATTTTTTGTATTTTTAGTAGACATGGGGTTTCACCATGTTGACCAGGATGGTCTCGATCTCTCGACCTTGTGATCCACCCGCCTCGGCCTCCCAAAGTGCTGGGATTACAGGCTTGAGCCACTGCACCCGGCCTTTTTTTTTTTTTTGAGTTAGAGTTTCACTGTCATTCAGATTGGAGGTAGTGGTGCCATCTCAGCTCACGGCAACCTCTTTCTCCCAGGCTGAAGGCATTCTCCCACCTCAGCCTCCCAAGTAACTAGGACCACAGCGCCACCATGCCCAGCTAATTTTTTGTATTTTTGGTGGAGACAGGGTTTTGCCATGTTGCCCAGGCTGGTCTTGAATTCGTGAGCTCAGGCGATCCACCCTCCTTAGCCTCCCAAAGTGCTTGTAGTACAGGTGTGAGCCACCACGCCCAGTCTCTGCTCTCTCTCTCTTTTTTTTTTTTTTTTTTTTTTTTTTTGAGACGGAGTTTCACTCTTGTCACCCAGGCTGGAGTGCAATGGCGTGATCTCGGCTCACCGCAACCTCCGCCTCCTGGGTTCAGGCAATTCTCCTGCCTCAACCTCCTGAGTAGCTGGGATTACAGGCTTGAGCCACCGCGCCCAGCCTCTGCTCTCTTTTTAACTGTCCCTTATAGCTGTGATTTCTCATCCACCTATCCTCCTCTGATGTTTACACAAGTCTCAATATCCAGAGTTCATTTGCTTATTCATTCAAAGATGCTTATGGAGGGCCTGCTCTGTGCCAGGCAGTGTTAAGTGCTGGAGCCATAACACTAGGGAGTTTTCTAAGGAGACCAGCCATTATGCAGTGCTGCTTCCACCAGTCAGCCCTCTAGGATTTCATGCAGAAGAGAAATCAGAATTTTTTTTTACAATTCAAGGTGCTAAGACGTCATTTATTTTGGTCATCAATTCCAGCTGTCCTTTTCAGCTGAAGAAAATGAAGCTCATTGTAATAAAGAATTGTCTAGGGTTCCTAGTTTGTGATAGGGCTGAGGAGACCCTTGAGTTCTTGTTCCCAGTCTAATATTCTTTCCACTACAATACTTGAGATGCATGCTGGTATCCGATTGGGACACAGTGTGTCTTTCAATATGGTCTATAAGGATTAGTAGCTTCCAGCCCTTTGGGCTCCTGGGTGTGTTGGCGATGACTCACTGTCCTTGTGTTTGTAGTTTAATGCCTTGAAGGTTCCTATGCCAGAGGATCCATATACTGCCCTGGTGGATGCTGAAGAAAAAGAAGATGTAAGTAGTTAAGGCTCTTGCTTATTCCAAAATTCTCTTGATCCTGGCAGCTCTATATTATAGCTAGGTTAAGGTGGAGTGAGTTAAATGGAGAAAGAGTTAACAGCCGTAAAAAGAAATGGCTTGTCAGTAAATGCAGCGACATGGACGAATTTCAAAATAATTATGCTGAGTGAAAGAAGCTAACAAGAAAAAGAAGAGTACAGCATATGATTCCATCTTTATAAAACTCAATTCCACAGAAAACTGAAGTTAAAAAAAAAAAAATTCTAGAAAATGTATTTAATCTACAGTGGCTGCCAGGGATGGTTGAGAGGAGACTGCTGGTTTCACAGGTGGATACAGACATCCAAGCTTGGCAAAGGGTGTTCTTTAAGTATTTGCATTTTCTCATACTTCAGATACACCTCAACAAAGCTGTTGAAAACAAGGAGATGGAATTAGAAAATATGTCCAAGTACTATTCAGATACCTAATTGTTTGCTTGAAAGTGCTGAAGGCCAAACTTTGGAACTCGGTGGCTTCACCAAAGAGAAGTCTGGCTAGGTGCTCAGGTGGCTTGTCCTGACCATTCAGTGGCTGGGCCCTATGAAAACAGACATTCTGTACGTCTTCTGGGTGAGGAACTTGGAGAAGCAGCCCGGTGCTGCCATCCTAAGCTGGTTTCTTGTATGGGCTTCTGTGTGAGTGTTAGGAAAAGCTGTGGGTTGCCTCTCAGAGTGAGCGCCCCCGAGTGGTTCGGGTAACCACGGATTCTCCGTAGAGCAATGGGAAAGCAGGAGTGGGCCCTGGGAGGACTCCTGCCTTAGCAGCCGCTAGAGTAGAAGGCAGCCTGGTTTCAGAACTGAATTTCTTTTTTTTTTCTTAAAGGCGAAGTATTATGCTGAGTGCGTGTCTCTCTCAAAGGCCAGGGTTGTAGAATATGAGAAACAGGTAAGGACAACGGGCAGCCATTGCCTATAATACTATTTTTTTTTTTTTTTGAGATGGAGTTTCGCTCTTGTTACCCAGGCTGGAGTGCAATGGCGCAATCTCGGCTCATCACAAACTCCGCCTCCTGGGTTCAGGCAATTCTCCTGCCTCAGCCTCCCGAGTAGCTGGGATTACAGGCACGCCCCACCATGCCCAGCTAATGTTTTGTATTTTTAGTAGAGACGGGGTTTCACCATGTTGACCAGGATGGCCTCGATCTCTTGACCTTGTGATCCGCCCGCCTCGGCCTCCCAAAGTGCTGGGATTACAGGCTTGAGCCACTGCGCCCGGCTATAATACCATTTCTTTCATGACCACACATCTTTCACCTGGTGGCAGGAGTCCGCCTTGGATATTCTGCTTTCCATCTCTGTTTACTTTAACTAACACATTTCCCCTCTTTCCAGCTGGAGAAGTATAAGAACTTAATTCCATTTGAACAGATGACCGTTGAGGACTTGAACGAAGCTTTCCCAGAAACCAAATTGGACAAGAAAAAGTATCCCTTTTGGCCTCACCAACCAATTGAGAATTTATAAAGTTGAGTCCAGGAGGAGGCTCTGGCCCTTATATTACACATTCTGGACATTAAAAATAAAAGTAATTATATAGTTCTGGGTATGTCTTCTACTCTGTGGGTGAGATAGTTAAGCCTCTCTTCTGAGGTGGCCTCACTGGATTTGGGTTTTGTTAAAATGGAAATGTGAGCCAAGAGAGGTTTGTTGGGCTGGTTGTCTGATAGACTATGTAGGCGCCACTTACGGAGGCCCCAGGACTACTGAAATGGCAATAAATTTAACACCAGGGCCTGTGGCAGTTTATTTCACTGCGATGTGATAAGGGGTTGTTATCTGCTGATTCTCTTCAACTTCCTCTTCGCTTTCAAACCCCCTGGTTCCAAGGGAGTGCTCCTGCTTGTCATTACTAAGTCACAAGAACAGCTGGTCCAAATGGCTAGCTGTAAGAGCAGGTGTTTACTTTTCTGTGCTCCAGCTTTTGAACATGAAAGTGGTATTAGGAGAGGAAACTTTGGCCGGGCGCGGTGGCTTACACCTGTAATCCCAGCGCTTTGGGAGACTCAGGCAGGCGGATCACCTGAGGTCAGGAGTTGTAGACTAACCTGGCCAACATGGGGAAACCCCATTTCTACTAAAAATAACAAAAATTAGCCAGGCACAGTGGCTCACGCCCATAATCCCAGCACTTTGGGATGCTGAGGTGAGTGGATCACCAGGTCGGGAGTTCAAGACTGGCCTGACCAACATGGTGAAACCTCGTCTCTACTAAAGATACAAAAATTACTCAGATGTGGTGGTGCACACTTGTAATCCCAGCTACTGAGGAGGCTGAGGCAGGAGAATTGCTTGAACCTGGAAGGCAGAGCGAGACTGTCTCTTAAAAGGGAAACTTTTATGTTGCGAAGTTAATGTACAGTTTTTTTGTATTTGAACATGGAAAATTATTTTAACTTCATCAGTTAAGTTTTAAAAAGTAGAAAGAGTTGTCCTTAAAGTCAGAGGACCTGTTATGCCTACCACCTAATTGCTGATTTTAGATTAATTGTTTACTAGCTTGAGACTTTAGTTTTCTCATTTACAAATATCAGGATTGTAATGAGAATTAAATGAGATAACCTGGTAAGTTTCTAGGTAGAAAGTAAGCAGCCGGGCATGGTGGCTCATGCCTAATCCCAGCACCTTCCAAGGCCGAGGTCGGCGATCACCCAAGGTCGGGAGTTCGAGACCGGCCTGACCAACATGGAGAAACCCCATCTCGACTAAAACTACAAAATTAGCTGGGCATGGTGGCACATACCTGTAATCTCAGCTACTCTGGAGGCTGAGAGAGTAGCTTGAACCCGGGAGGCGGAGATTGCAGTGAGCTGAGATCGTGCCACTGCATTCCAGCCTGGGCAACGAGCAAAACACTCTCAAAAAAAAAAAAAAGTAAGCAAAGGCTGACTTGATATGGCTTAAATCCTACATAGGAAAGGGTAGCACACACAGGGGAGACATGTGACATTTCTGCCAAATACTGCAGGCAGACCATATTAGAGAAGAGCAACAATGCCTGATGAGAAATCTGTAGGCTTTTTTTCTTTCTTTCTCTTTTTTTCTTTTAAAGATGGGGTTTCACTATGATGACCAGGCTGGTCTTGAACTCCTGACCTCAGGTGATCCAGCCACCTTGGCCTCCCAAAGTGTTAGGATCACAGGTATGAGACACCAAGCCTGGCTGAGAAATGTGTATAGTCAGTTACTTGGGACCCTGCAGGCATCTTAGACTTAGGGCAACCAGCTCTAAACCCCTCTCCTTCCCTATCTGTCTGGGGATGTGGCACCACCTCCCTCCGGAATCCTAGGAAAACGTCTCAGGCTCCTCCTAGGCTCTAATCCCCAATCAGTCAAGCACCACCTCCTAGAGTCCACTTGCTAAGAATCTCCTCTTACTTCCCTCTGGGCATCACTGCTGTCACCTGTGTTCAGGCCTTGGTAATTTCCTCCTTAAGCCATGATGCCTCACCCTAAAAGTGGCCTCACTGCCTGTACTCTCGCCCACCTCCAATCCATTCTTCATATTGCCGCCAAGGGGAGCTTTTCCAAAAGCAAATTCCTGCACGTGACTCCTCTCAAACCCTCCCCTGGCTCCACACTGCCCACAAGATCAAATGCAGTCTCTTTACCTTGGGGGCAAGGCTCTCAGGCCCTCTCTTGCGCACTGTTCTCCTCCCATTGTAACCTCAGCAAATTGCTAACTGTATCTCCTACTCCACCCTTCCCATCAGGCATTTGCAATTCCTGCTCACACTAGAAGACTAGAAAGATCTAGAGGCTTCTTGAGCATTCTTTGTTGAGTGCTGGCACTATACCTTAGTCATACATTGTCCAGGGACTAACACTGTGCTTGACACTTAGAAGAATTTTAATGTGAATTTATTATGAATAAAAGAGAAGAGGCCGGGTATGGTGGCTCACATCTATAATCCAGGCACTTTGGGAGGCCAGTGTTGGGGGATGGCTTGAGCTCAGGAGTTTGAAACCAGGCTGGCCAACATGGCGAAACCCCATCTCTACTGAAAATACGAAAATTAGCTGGGTGTGGTGGCGGGCATCTGTAATCTCAGCTACATAGGAGGCTGAGGCATGAGAATCGCCTGAACCCAGGAGGTGGAGGTTTCAGTGAGCTGAGATCTTGCTATTGCACTCCAGCCTGGGTGACAAGAGCGAGACTCCATCTCAAACAAAAACAAAAAACAAAGCAGTTTGCTAAAGTGTAATAAATGCATATGGAGGAAATTGAGAACATCATTAGGTGTACAGTGCTCTGATGTTTTACAAGGGGAACAGACCCATTCCCATGGGAAACAACTTGAGCAGCTCCCCAATGTGCTTCTGAAACGCCCCCAACCCAGGCTAGCATCATTGTCACTTCTTTGCACCTACTCCTTCCACTCCTTCCTCCCTCTCAGGGTTGTTTCGAGGGTTATGAGTAAAATGAAGGCTTTTTTGGGGCAAACTCTGAATGCCCGATGACATCCTTTTGTTCCAGAAGCCCGACTCTCCGCTCTTCCTCAGCTCCTCTGCCCGAGTCGGAGAGGCCCCACCAAACTCCCACTGGCTTCAGGCCGAGCCTCAGCAGCAGGATAGTGGAGGGAAGGAGGAAGGTGAAGGTGGGCATTTATTCCCTCGGGTACCTCCCTGTGATATCAAGGTAGCCGTGGGCTTTCTGCATCTCTGGACTCGACATCTTAGCTCCTGGGGCGACTCTCAATACCCGATCTCTGGGTTCCAGGAGCTGCTGCCTTTTGTGACCCTTCGGGCCTGGTGATGGGGACAGCTCGTCACTAATGCCCATCCTGGAGTCCTCGTTTCCTTACACCTGTCCGTACTAAACGGGACTCTTTTAAATGCTCCTCGGATTACCCAGTGGGAATGTGCCATCTTCTTCATGCCAGACTCTGACTGGTACAAAGATTGGCATTTATTCTCCCCGATGTCCAAGTACGCTTGCACACATGCGTCCTGGCACCCTCTTCCAAGCATAGGGCAGTTGGGTGGTAGGTGCCGTCTCACTGTACACAGAGCCACTAGGAAGACCGAGGCCACAGAGTTGGGCTGCACCCCCACTGCCCTTGAGGCCAGGGACTGGAGTTCTGTCTGCTGTTTAACTTCAATACCATAGATTGAAACATAACCCGCTCCATTTCATTTGCTTGTGGGTTTGTAGCTTGTACAGCACATTTAGGAGGTGAATGTTTGAATGTTGAACTCATTCCAGGTACCAGCTAAGAGAGGCAAAAAGAAATGGGGCCCCACTTGCCCTCACATGGGTTTGAAGTCTGGCATCCTAGAGAAGAAAAGGAAAATTAATTGAAATAGGCATATGTGCCGGGCACGGTGGCTCAAGCCTGTAATCCCAGCACTTTGGGAGGCCGAGGCAGGTGGATCACGAGGTCAAGAGATCGAGATCATCCTGGTCAACATGGTGAAACCCCGTCTCTACTAAGTAAAGTACAAAAATTAGCTGGGCGTGGTGGCGCGTGCCTGTAATCTCAGCTACTCAGGAGGCTGAGACAGGAGAATTGCCTGAACCCAGGAGGCGGAGGTTGTGGTGAGCCGAGATCGTGCCATTGCACTCCAGCCTGGGTAACAAGAGCGAAACTCCGTCTCAAAAAAAAAATAAATAAAATAAATAAAAAATAAATAAAAAATAATAAATAGACATATGCACAAAATGTAGCTAAGTATTATTAGAAAGGCAAAATGTGCCAGTTGGTTTTTGTTTTTTATGTTATAGATTTTTTTTTCTTTTGAGACAGTCTTTTTCTGACGCCAGGATGGTGTGCAGTGACACAATATTGGCTCACTGCAACCTCCGAGTCCCTGGTTCAAGTGATTCTTCTGCCTCAGTCTCCCGAGTAGTTGGGATTGCAGGCACAGGCCACCATGCCCTGCTAATTTTTGTACTTTTATTAGAGACGGGGTTTTACCATGTTGGCCAGGATAGTCTTGATCTCCTGACCTTGTGATCTGCCCACCTTGGCTTCCCAAAGTGCTGGGAATACAGGCGTGAGCCACTGCGCCCAGCCTAGGTTTTTTTTTTTTTTTTTTTTTTTTTTTTTTTTTAAGAATTACTTTTATTGCCGGGCACGGTGGCTCAAGCCTGTAATCCCAGCACTTTGGGAGGCCGAGGCGGGTGGATCACAAGGTGGAGAGATTGAGACCAACCTGGTCAACATGGTGAAACCCCGTCTCTGCTAAAAATACAAAAAATTAGCTGGGCATGGTGGCGCGTGCCTGTAATCCCAGCTACTCAGGAGGCTGAGGCAGGAGAATTGCCTGAACCCAGGAGATGGAGGTTGCGGTGAGCCGAGGTCGCGCCATTGCACTCCAGCCTGGGTAACAAGAACGAAACTCCGTCTCAAAAAAAAAAAAAAAATAAATAAATAAAATAAATAATTACTTTTGTTCAAGTGGGTTTTAAAAACACAGCTCCAGCAACACAACCCCAGGTGATTCTCAAACCCAAAACTACCAATTTCAGAGGTTAGCCTTTAACCATTAGATTCACAATGCAGGTAACTGATCACATACCTCTTAGATGCAGATGCCACAGGCTGATCAATGACGTCATAAGCGGAAGCGTCCGGGGTGCAAAGCGTGATTGGACAGAGGCAGCTCCCCAGCTTCGGATCGCGAGAGCCGCGTTATGGAGGGATCGGGAGGCATTTCTGGGTCTAAAACAAGAAAAAAGACGGAAATTACAGTTGCATGGATTAAAACGTTCCGACCACGAAGGGACTCGAACCCTCAATCTTCTGATCCGAAGTCAGACGCCTTATCCATTAGGCCACGCGGTCTCCTACTGTGCATACCTGCCTGGGAGACTAATTTGGTGACTGTTAAACGCTCCCCGCGTGGCGCGGCTACAGCGCCCGCAAGCCCAGCTGCCTGTAGCGACGCGCTGGCTCTCTTCTGTGGCCCCAGCTGCTCAAGCAGCCACCCCAGCGGCACAGCACCCATCCCAGTCTCTAAGCCTCGCTGGGCACCGTGGCTGCGTGGCCTAACGGATAAGGCGTCTGACTTCAGATCAGAAGATTGAGGATTCCAATCCCCTCGTGGTGGCGCTCCTTTTGAGCAAGCAGCCCGTGCCCCAACTCCAGCATAGTTTGCAGATTCGTTCTTCCCTCCGTCCTGGTCCCTGCGTATTCCTCACAGCTCCGCTCCACCCGGCTAGGCGCTTGCCGAGAACTTCCCCTCGGCTAGGGCGCACTGCAGGCTCCTGGTCCCCGCGCGTCACCACCGCGTGGAGCTCTTTAGTAGCTTCGTGGGGATGCCGCGCCCGGCGAGCAGCTCATCCGGTCGTCCGGATGGCTTCTCGAGTTTGCAGCGCGGTGACCCACGGCAGGGTTTGGGCACGTGCTATTGAACACCTATCACGGAGCACGTGGATTTGGCGTCTTACCGCGCCCCAGTGGCCTAATGGATAAGGCACTGGCCTCCTAAGCCAGGGATTGTGGGTTCGAGTCCCACCTGGGGTGTCGAGGGGGCTGTGCTCCCGAAGTCGCTTTTGGTGCGTGGAACCAGCGACCTCCACCACCATCCGTCGGCTTCCTGTTTGCGTCTGCCCTGTCTACGCCCCACGCCTTCTCCTGCAGAACCCTCTATTTGCAGTCGCCGTAGTCGGTCATTTACCCCTGGTTCTCCGGGGCTGCCCCGCCAGGTGGAGTTGGGGTATCCTGGGAACCCTCTGAGCAACTTTATTCTCCTGAGTTCCCCCAGATTCAAAATTGTGGCGCCCTGCCCTGACGAAAGCTGTTCATTCAAGGGCTTGGCATGACCCGCGCTTACCGGCTTTAGGTGCTTGGAGGAGGTGGCTCCACATCAAGACGTTGCACAGGAGTCGAACCAGAGACCAAGGTCAGTTCCAACGTCCCTGAGAAGGAAAGAAAAAAGGAAATAAAAGATCTTGTAAAAAGTTGTCACTTTTTGGCTGGGCACGGTGGCTCACGCCTGTAATTCCCAACACTTTGGGAGGCCGAGGCGGGCGGATCACCTGAGGTCAGGAGTTTGAGACCAGCCTGGCCAATATGGTGAAACCTCGTCTCTACTAAAAATGCAAAAATTAGCTGGACGTGGTGGCGGGCGCCTGTAATCCCAGCTACTCCGGAGGCTGAGGCAGAAGAATCGCTTGAACTCGGAAGGCGGAGGTTGCAGTGATTCGAGATGTGCTCGCTGCACTCCAGCCTGGGCAACAGAGCGAGACTCTGTTTCAAAAGGAAATACTTGCTTGTCTTACCCCAGGTGGGACTCGAACCCACAATCCCTGGCTTAGGAGGCCAGTGCCTTATCCATTAGGCCACTGGGGCTTGTGGCACGTGATTGCAACATCCCTTACTTTCATAAGCGGGTGGCCCCTTCTCCTAGACAAGGTCTGAGAGGCGCGCTCCATCGAGTGGGCTCCGTCCCTGCCACACGCACGTTTGGTGAGCTGGCTGGAGGATACCGCAGTGCTCGGGGACCTGCCCCCCCACCGCCCCATTTAGCAAGCACCAGGCCCCAGCCCCCTCCCCCTTCCGTGCCCCACCCCCACACTGGGACGCTCCATGGAGTCTGGAGGGTCCCTTCGGAGGTTGCCTGCACACCCGGACCATGATGTATGAAGACTGAGGTTTGGAGGGGTGTCCTTCCTACTGCCCGGAGCCTTTCTGTCCGCCTCTACAGAACTGATAAAAAGTCCAGGAATTTTAGGAAAAAGTAGCATAGGAAGTGAAGGAGAACAGAGAAGTATTAATCATGAATATTGAAACATAAACACTGAAAATCTTGTAGCCGGGCGCGGTGGCTCACGCCTGTAATCCCAGCACTTTGGGAGGCCGAGGCAGGCGGATCACCTGAAGTCAGGAGTTCAAGACCAGCCTGACTAACATGGTGAAACCCTGTCTCAAAAACAAAAACAAAAATAAAAAACAAAAAAACTGAAAATCTTGCTTATCATGAGGGAATGTACAACGGGGGAGCAAGTCCTTCCAGTTATAATAAAAATACATAGATAGAAAGGAAAATCAGCCAAGTAGCTATTTCACCCTAATTCTAATAAAGAATAAGCACATTTAAAAATGTTAACACACATTTAAAATCCATTATTAGGAGGCTGAGACAGGAGAATTGCCTGAACCCAGGAGGCGGAGGTTGCGGTAAGCCAAGATCGCGCCATTGCACTCCAGCCTGGGTAACAAGAGTGAAACTCCGTCTCAAAAAAATAAAATAAAATAAAATAAAATAAAATCCATTATTAAAGGCTACAGGCCAGGTGCTGTGGCTCACGTCTGTAATCCCAGCACTTTGGAAAGCTGAGGTGGGCGGATTGCTTGAGCCCAGGAGTTCAAAACCAGCCTGGCAACATAGCGAGACACTGTCTCATTAAAAAATAATAATAATAAATAAAAAAAAGTCTTACGCACAGCCGAAGGATTTAACAGGTCAGCAAAGGGCCTGTCCCCATTGTGCTTGTCTTGGGACCTTGCCCATCTGCTCCAGCATCACAGGGCAAAGGGAACATGGGGATATTCTTTTTTGTTTCTCTCCAAAATGTATAGTCTGCAGAAACCTGTCTCCTCCTCCCCTTAATAGCAGCAAGAAGAATTTAACCCACCTGGCTCCAGTTTACTGCCTTGAGGATGCCCCCGTTTAAGTTAACTAACTTGTCCATTGCTGGGACCCAGCACTCTGCTCCAGGGTCAACCTGCAGGGATTCCTTCTCTGCTTTCCCACCACCACCTCTAGCCAGGCGTCCGTCCCCTCCGCCTCCGGCCCCCACTAAGCCTTGCCTCGCTCAGCTGCTTGTGTTCATCCCCAGGAGTCCACTTGTCTCACTGGGTCTTGGATCTTCCAGCTCCAGCCTCACTCCCAGCTCCAACACTCCATTCCCTCTCCTGGGTAACAGCACTGGGCACTTCTGCTCACAGGCAAAACCACGATGATCAAGCTGTCCTCCCAAGGCCACTCCCCTTCACGATGTTCCTGTGTGAGTGCACAGCATCACCCATGTCACGCCCCTCACTCCCACACCACCCAGGCCAATTTTCTGTCCTCATAATCCTCCAGCATCCGGTATTTCCTCCCCACCCCTGCTGCTGCCGCCCTAGTTCCAGAGCGAGTCCCTGACTGCTCACACGGGGTCAGTTGTCATCCATGCACACCTTCCTACAGCCTCTCTTCATTCTGTCATGGGCAGAGCAGGCTTCCTGTCTCAGCCTCTGTAGGGGAAAGACTAAATGTCTTAGCTGTCACTTTTAAGTCCTTTCTAGACCTGGATCCCAGTCAATTGGCAGACTCATCTTTCACAGCTTCTTGTCCTCTGGGTTCCAGCCAAACTGGGCTAGAAATCGCGGCAGACATTCTCCGGGTATCAGCTCAGTGCCACTAACCATGTAGTTATTCACTGAAATCCCACAGTAACCCTGAGGTAGGTGTTAATAACATAACCCCTAGTTTAGGCTGAGCCTAGTTGTGCCTGTAATCCCAGCACTTTGGGAGGCTAAGGCAGGCTGATCACTTGAGGTCAGGAGTTTGAGACCAGCCTGGCCAACATGGTGAAACCCCATCTCTACTAAAAATACAAAAATTAGCCAAGTGTGGTGGTGTGCGTTTGGGATCTCAGCTACTCAGGAGGCTGAGGCAGGAGAATCGCTTGAACCCAGGAGGCAAAGGTTGCAGTCAGCCGAGATTGTGCCATTGCACTCCAGCCTGGGTGACGTAGTGAGACTATGTCTCGAAAAAAAAAAAAAAACAAACCATCCTAGTTTATACGTGGGGAAACTTAAGGTTCAGAGAGGTTAGGTAGCAGCTGGAGAGGTAGACGGGTGAGCACTGACCCATGCGGTCCACTTCAGGGCCCATTCTCTCAATCACAAGTTTCCTGTCCAGCCACAGGCAGGCCTTGAAGTTGCCATTTTCTTAGCCTTTGCCGTTGGCCACCACTGGAGCCTCCAAGTGACATGCTCTTATCATGCCGGTTCCTCCCCTCCCTTCAGGCCCATCTCAAGCTGAACTAGTCACTCCTCTGCCTCCTGCAATCTACTGAGACCTTTCTTTTGTCATTCATCATGCTTCGGGTCTTGCTACCGGAACAGGAATCCACTTTTCCTCTCAGCTTTTACTATCACCTGATCAAATGTCAATTCTCTGGAAGAAAACACTTTTGCTTTGTTCGCCTCTGACTCCTCCCCACCTCATGCTGTGAGTGCCTGGGATTCACTTAGCGCTTACTGAATTATGGAATGAACTGGTAAATGCACATCCTGCATGTGAGTCTTGGTCCCCTCCCAGGCTATGAGTGCCTTGAGGACACGGACCACGTCTTACACATTTTTGATTTACATTAAAGGAGCCATGCTGATCTCTGTATCATTCTAATTTAGTATATATGCTGCTGAAGTGAGCAAATGTTTGTATTTTGTAAGTCATTTATAAATGATTTTCCCCCTTGCTTAGGCTCATGTGCTCACATAAACTAGATCAAAAGCATATAGAACAGTTTAAGAAATTCATACATGCTAGAGCAATGTACTACTGCAATGCTAGCCTGAGAGCATTGTAAAAATCTCCTTCCAGTTCCAACTTATTCTTCCTGCCTCTAAAACCCACTGCCTAATACGGCACCTGACACAAAATACTTCTCATTCAGGACACGCGGTGGTTTTGTTACCCATGTCTCTTAAAACCTAAATGCCTTGGTCTGGCGTAGTGGCTCACACCTGTGATCCCAGCACTTTGGGAGGCTGAGGTGGGCAGATCACCTAAGGTCAGGAGTTCAAGACCAGTCTGGCCAACATGGTGAAACCCTGTCTCTACAAAATACAAAAATTAGCTAAGTGTGGTGGCAGGCGCCTGTAATCCCAGCTACTCAGGAGGCTGAGATGGGAGAATCGCTTGAACCCGGGAGGTGGAGGTTGCAAGGAGCTGAGATAGCGATATTGCATGCCAGCCTGGGCCACAGAGTGAGATTCTGTCTCAAAAACAAAAAACCTGAACTCCTTAACTTGAATTCAAGCCTCTCCACATCAAGCTGACCTCTCTCCAGGCTCACTTCCCAGAATCGCCCTGCACAAATCCACCATTCAGTGCCTCTACCTTCCTTGCCACCTCCTCCACCCCTGCCTCTTCTCTGTCTCCTGCGTTCAGTGTCCCCTTCAAATGGCATGTCCTCCTCCGCTCTACTGATGAAAGTCCTGTACCTTTTCCATAGCCAAGCTCAAATGCCCACTTGCCTGTCTCGGCCCTCCTACCTGGCTGTGTGTATGGTTTTTGGTTTTTTTTTTTTAGATGAAGTCTCACTCTGTTGCCCAGGCTGGAGTGCAGTGGCGTGATCTCGGTTCACTGTAACCCCTGCCTCTTGGGTTCAAATGATTCTCCTGCCTCAGCCCCTGAGTAGCTGAGATTACAGGTGCCTGCCACCATACCCAGCTAATTTTTGTATTTTAGTAGAGACAGGGTTTAACCATGTTGGCGAGGCTGGTCTTGAATTCCTGACCTCAGGTGATTTCCCTGCCTCAGCCTCCCAAAGGGCTGGGATTACAGGTGTGAGCCACTGTGCCCAGTGGGTTATTTATTTATTTATTTTGAGACACGGTCTTGCTCTGTCACTCAGGCTGAAGTGTCACTCAGGTGCCATTATGGTTCACTGCAACCTTGAACTGGGCTCAAGTGATTCTCCTGCCTCAGCCTCCTGAGTAGTTGGGACTATGGACATATGCCACCACGCCCAGCTAATTTTTGTATTTTCTGTAGAGATGAGGTCTCGCTATGTTGCTCAGGCTTTTAAACTCCTGACCTCGTGTGATTCTCCTGCCTTGGCCTCCAAAGTGCTTAGATTACAGGCGTGAGCCACCACGCCTGGCCTGTGTG